AGAATGACCATCAGGACATTTGAATAGGTTAACAAAAATTTGGGTACTATATTCATGCAGCAGTTTTGATTGAAAGTTAAAATTTGTATTGAAAACAATCATGTCTCACTGAAACCCATGCTCAAATATACATCATTCAAAACTGTATACCTTTGAAAAGAATGGATTCATCTTCAATTCATTATAATTGGCAGAAATGCAAGCAATCACGTAACTATAGCCTCTTGAAAATGGTTCTCACACCTGATGACCAGACTTCCGCCTTCAATAAGACAGACATGCGCACAGCAAAAAGGAAATTTTTTTGAGCAGTGAAGAGCTCAATTTATTCCCAAATCACATCATAATGGTAATCATACAGAGGACTGCAAGGATTCCTTTCATGGTAAAATATGGTATGAAGGTGGACATTCTACTGTATTCCATGGTTCATCGCACGTTAGGAACGTGCATCATAAAAGAACCCATGATGTGATGATGATGGAACGGCATGTCATGCACGCCTCTTCAAAGTCTCTGTCAAACGAGGACATTGACAAGCCTGAGACCTGTTTAAAGGGGGAATGGAATGGTGTCAAAATCAAAAACAAAACAGAAGTAAGCAGTTGTACAGTATTATACTGAGCCGGCCTGAAGTCCCATTTGCTACAATGAACACAGGCCAACTCAAAAGTTGTTTAAGAAAACCTGTTGCCTTGCTGGTGTTATTCCCACGACATTCCTGGATCAGGGGAGGAATGGAGCACAAAAAAAAAACATCCTGCAAAAAGTTTCACTTCACTTGAAGGAGGGCATTCCTTCACAAGGAGGGCATTCCTTCACGTCCAAAGCAAAAACTCATCCAGACATTTTAAATTCCACGTGAAAAAGTCATATCACAGAAGATTACAATGCGCCACACCTGTTCAAGAGAAAATTTAAGGGACAAAGCAAAATCTTCCAGATAGAGAGGTTTAGAGTGAGGAAAACAAGCAATTTTTTGTTGCGGAAAAGAAAGATACAGTGAGACCCCCACATGCGGACGCCTCAACATGGGGACAATTTGACATGGGTACATTCATTTTTCAACCAAAAAAATAATAAAAAATACCCAACATGAGGACACTGACTCGACCTGGGGACATTGCAGGATAAAATTCCGAAATAAATTTCAGGAAAATCGATTTTTATAAGGCTTGATTGCAAAATACAGATGTTTCCAACTTATAATCTATGCAAGAAAAATTATTTGGTACTTTTCCCATCATTTTCCCATCCATTCAGCTAATTTTAAAAATGCTCTATAGCACAGAGGGACTTCCTTCTAGCTCTCTTTGTGACATTGAATGTTAATTTTCCAGATGCCAACTTTTCAATGCACTGTACAGAGGTGCACTATTCCATGTTCCAGATGTTCTTATTGGTTTGAAAATATATTCATTGCATAAAATTCAAGGGGCAGAAATGTTTTTCATGAAATGTTGAAGAATATTTCTTCCATGAAACACCAATTAAAAGTTATATGATGTAAGTCCACGGGAAAACAAGATTCAACTTGGGGACAATCCAACTTAGGGACACTCTTGATACACCAATTATGTCCGCATCTTGGGGTCTCACTGTAATTACAGAAAATGGTGACTGATGATATCCTAGACATTAAATTGCTTCTTGAATGAGTCTTCAAATAATGTTGAATATCAAGGGAGCAGCAAACAAACCTCTTTAATCAAGTTGAAGAGGAGTTATACAGGGAAGCAATCATTTTTGTTGTAGGGAAGATAGAAAAATTGCAGGATATAGTAAATGGTGATATTCTAAGCCTTAAATTGCTTCTGAAATGACTTTCAAGATGTCTAACTTGGAAGCAAGGGTTCATAAACTCAATTATTTTTTAAATACCTTTCAGAACACATGGTCACATTTTCACTGCTTTTCTCTTTCACATGTCAATAAAATAATAGCAAAAAGGCCTCCAGAAAATTAGAGTTGTGGAGGTTTGAGCAGGAAAGCCTTTTGAAGTTGGGGAGGTTTTCAATGCACTCTTTCCAGAGGAATTCGGACAGGGACTCGAAAATAAATTAACATGGAGAGGTTCCGGTTATTGAGGTTCACCTGTAAAATCTTAGTAACAAAGCTTCCAATATATGAAGTCTTTCCAGAGGAATTCGGACTCGAAAATAAATTAACATGGAGAGGTTCCCGTTATTGAGGTTCACCTGTAAAATCTTAGTAACAAAGTTTCCAATTAATGAACCAACCTTACCGCAATACAGTTTCCTTCTTCAAGATGAGCACATGCATGTTGACCAAATCCATCCTTTTTGTCCCTAGCTTAGTCGTTAAAAAAAACAAGTCAAACCCCTTTCTAAAAACGGTGTTCTAATAACCAATTCATGGAGTGAGTCTACCTTATGTCCTCACAACTTCATAGAGGTTCACCTGTCCCTTATACCCTTCCTTCCGTAGACAATGGATCACATCCACTGCATTTTGTTGGGTATGACTTGATCATTTTTCCAGTTCTTGGAAGGAAGACATATCCATCATTTGACTCTTTGTCTAATTAAAATATTTTTTTTGGGAGCAGCATAAGCTCCTCCAGGAATACTGACAATCATATAGGGGTAAAAAGGACAACGATCTTCTTCTACATGACCTTGGTAAAATTCCCCGGGACAACCGAGATAATTCCAGAATAAATTTGCATTTACATTTACCCACATCTTAAAACGTCCCCGGAGATGGACACGGGGTCGGCTTACATAACTTTAATGTTTCTGTCCAAACTCAAGCAAGGTGTTTCAACGGCGAGAACACTGCGCAACCGCATACAGTGATCAATTTATTCATTCCCATCAAAATAAATGTGAAATAATCCATACTCCCAACAGCAGTATCCCACAGAATGTAAATGCAGGAAACGATGCAACTTTTTGTCATTGTCCACTTCATCAACTGAGCCTCATGCCTGTCTCAAGAGTTAACATATATCAAGTGGGGAGCTATTCTTTGTGTGACCCCCACCACTGGTGTCAAACTGGGGTCAAAACTGGTGTACATGGGCTATTCTGGGGTTACAAGCATGCACCTCTGTAGATGAAATTTTGCTACCATTCCAGGGCTACATTTGGTGCACAAATGTGACATAACAGGAGTATCACACAAATGCACCCACTGTAACCTTGGTGTAACTTATTTGTTACAAATGTGACCCTGAATAATCCTGGTGTGAACACACAATTGGTGCACATTAGGGATATGCATGTGCTGCAGAAGAACTTTGGTACTCATTTGTAACAAATAAGTTACACCAAGGTTACAGTTGGTGCATTTGTGTGATGCTCCTGTTATTTCACATTTGTGCACCAAGTGTAACCCTGGAATGGTAGCAAAATTTCCTCTACCGGAGTGCACACTTGTACCCCCAGAATATCCAATATATGCTCCAGTTGTGACCCTGTTGTGCACCTACTGTGGGGTCACAGCAAATTTAGCTCCCCACTCGGGTGCATATCCCAAGTGTGCACCATTTTCCCCACTTGGGATGGCATTTGTGCAGCACAATTAGGTTTGAACAGCTTGCTCAAGGCAATCAAGCAAGCAGGGCCCATGACCCTCAACTTCCCCAGCTGTTCTTAGGGCACCACTCCCCCCTTCAGCATCATATGCGCTCACAAGGCCCTTCTCTTTCAGAACCTTTTATAAAAATAACTTTTAGGAACAAATTTAGCTCCAACAAGAAATCCAAGAGTTATTCAAATTATGCAGGAAATTTCTGCATCATTCCACACCAAACAAATGATGCCATATACAATACATGCATGCAGTGAATTATAATTCCCTGGCACTAAGTTGACTTCATACACCGGCATTATCCTTCAGCAAGCACTGCACAACGCACAGAAATACTGGGAAATTGGGAATTTTTGAAGTAACCCATGACCAGCGTTGAAGGAGGGAGTGGCGTTGGAAGAGGATAGACGGGCAAGTCAGCAGCGCCAAAGGAAACGGCGCTCAAAACCGTGGCACCATTCAAAATCTACTGGTGGCTATGGTCCACCAGCAGTTTCAAGCAAGGGAGGGCGTTCCCTCTCTGTCCTACTCTCCGTGAGACACAACGGTCTTGCTTGCACTTCATCCCAACGAACGCATCGAGACTTGCAGCTCTTGAGCAATGGAGCAGCATTCTAGCGAACACTCTCACTCTCACCGAGGAAAACGAACCAATCTGGCAGAAGCCCAGTCTCGCAATGTAATGTGCTGTACTGCACTGCACTGTACCAACCGCATCCCGTTACCTTTTGTCAGTTGTCTGCAGCGCTCGGCAAGAGACATTTCGTCGGTACTTGAGTGTGGAGAAGACTTACTTCAAGTGCAATAGAATTGCTCCAGGCGTTTCATTATGTCCGTAGGAGAAGGAAAAGTGAAACCACAAAACTCACACACCAGCGTTGGATTAGCAAAGGGAGCTTTATCAATGGCGAGTCACGAGTAGCTCTCGAAATTCTGTCTCAGTGCAAGAGTAATCCTCACGGAATGACATCGCATCCCACCCTCCCAAAATAAAACAAGTGCAGCATTTTCCGATGGAAAAAAATTGATAAAATGTGGCTTCTGGAAAGTTTTTGCGCAGTGAATGAGTCAAGCGTACAGTATTTTGAATGTTGAGGGAAGTGCACGCAGAAATCATCAATCGGGAATGGAGGTGAAAAACTGATTGCTCACAGCAGGAAATTAAAATAATCAAAACCTTTCCCCATCATTCTTTGAACACCCTGAACCCAAAGAACCATTTACCCCTCGGTTGCAGCAGTGCTCGTGCACAACCCAAAATTAAACAGCACATATCTAGGATGACTTGTTGCTTGAAAAAAACCGTGACTGTCAGAAGTGTCAGTGACATCTATCCACGCTGAACAAATAGTGTAGTTAATTTCATTGATTAAGCACAAAGATCTCCTGCATAACAGAAGACCCGCAAGATAAAAATTCTGCTTACTGATAGTATTCTGGAAAAAATGACATCGCATTTTGAAGGTAATTCACAGAGCGAAACGTTCGGCCAAAAATGGTAGGATTTCATCAAGTTTTTAAATGAAAATTAGAAATTTTGAGAAAAAAATATAAAGGATACTGTTACAAATTTTTGCCCTCACCATTTACGAAATTCAATAAGTTAAAAGCAATAATTTGTCAGGATTACTTCTAAATTCACAAGTTTACGCTGAAAACTAGGAAAAACACCCAGATTCCATGGGTAAAATAAACTGTATATTAAATGTTTTATATCCAGCATTACATTCATAATATTATTTTTGCATTAATTTTACTTTGTTTTCTATTGTACTGTATTTCAGTGATTGACTGGAAAAGATTCAATAATCTGAAAGTTAAAACTTGAGGGGAATTGCGTTTCGCATTACAAACATTCTGTAAAACAAAACCCTTCAAGGAACGGATTATTTTTTGTTATTCAGAGGCTCTCTAAGTCTAAGATATTTGAATGTCACAGATTCTATCACAGCACAGGGGCTTTCTGTTAATTGAAGAAACATAACTTCAGAAATGTACGGTACTTCCTTCATTCTTCGGCAAAGGTTTACAATTTTGATTAACTTTTCGAGTTTCAAATTCGCCACTATAGTCTCATCAAATTTCGTGAGGGCTCAATATTTTGAAACGTCTCACACAACCCCTACAGCAGTACGTGCTGGTACTGTACCACCGAAACTCTCTGAACGCACTTTCTCGTAACCCAGTGACCTGGTCTGACGTTTATTTAATTGCCTCCTCAATGCGCCACAGCGTTGATTTCCGTAGTATGTATAACTTCACAAGCTAGGCAGCTTTTTCAGACCGGATTCTGTCGAATCTTCTTTGCAGAATTTTGTTGAGTACCAAGCTCAGAGGGAAAGAGTTGGCAATACTGTATGGACATCACAGTACTTGAAATACCGTATAATTTCTTTCCGACGGCTCCTAGTATAAATGCTCTAGTTTCTTTGAATCACTATCGCTGTAAGTACAGTATTAGAAGATAATGTGGCGGAAAGTATTAAGAAACCGCTTTTTTTTATCATTTTGAAGTTTTACCTCAACCCACCGCAATAATCACAACCTTAAAAACAAAGCTTCAAAATGTTCTATTCCCCCAAACGAGACGCAATTTCCTCACTTCAAACGTGCTGGTACCACCTTCGAACGCATGAACGATTCGAAAGTTTTCGGACTTATTGCTCTAACACTCTCAAGCTGACATCACAGTTAAATTTAAAAAGTTCTTCCCGAAGTACTCTTCTTTGAAGGCTTACTTCAATTTGTCTTTAATATCTTCTTTCAAAATCTCGTGAGAGGAAAAGAAAACAGTTCCCGTCCAAATGTCTCCCGTAACCAGGGAAGGCTCCGGAGTGTTCCACCACATTTGGATGCAGCAGTTCCAGAAAAACAGCATGTTGATAGAAAATACTGATCCTGGAGAAAAATCTCAAACTAATGCGAATCGGGTAAAAAAAGTTTCCATTACATTCAAAAGAGAGAAAAAGCAAACTGTAGATGCTACACTTTGAAAAATTATTCCTCCTTAAAAAAAAAGAATGAACGAACTAGACTAGAGAACGGTTTTTTGTGTACACAGTGAACACAACTCATAGACGTAGTCATCGTACTTATTTCTAGCTTGTATCCTAAAAAAAACTCATGATAAAGATTAGTCAGTATGACTGATACTGTGGTACACCTGAAAATAAATCGCACACCATATTTGATTAAAGCCCGCTCGAACTCCCGGATATTTTTACTGGAATGCTCGGGAACAGGCAAAGACAATTCGTCTGTTGGCAAAAATATTGAACTGTCTCCGAAGGTCAATGCAGTTTTGAACCAATGGCGCAAAATCTGATCCCCCGATGAACATACGATCATTTTCGCTCGATTGACTGACTTCGAAGCCCTTCAGGGAAAATGTATCAACCGAAACTTTCAAGGAATCCTAGCGATTAGTCGCGGTCCAATGAGCGTTGCGACAAACTGGAAAGCTGAAGTACCTTATCTTGAATTGCAGTCCCTGCTCTGTGATTCGCGATTGAATAAAAAGTGAGAAAATTGGATCATCCGAAGAGGATCATCGAAACAGGAGCAAGTGAAATATGTCATCCTTGGACGAATGTGAGGATTCAACCGAGTCACACCATTCTCACGCTAAAACCCTTTCCCCCTTTTACAATAAAATTTTCTTTTTTTAAATACGCCGAGGACAGTATTTCTCGGTGTGTATGACCGCACATCTCAAATGTATTAGTAAAAAGGGGCCCAAAGATGCGGACGTAAATTGGTGCTTGAACGTAGTCCTTCTGTCAGAACGTCCGCATGTCAGATCACGTTTTCCCATGGATTTCAATGGGTACATACTTGATTGGTTCTCCCGTTCATCCAAAATTAGGAATGATGTCCCAAAAAAATTAAATACTGTACAAATCTTTTCTCAGTATCAAGAATCAGAAAATAACTGTGTAGAAGAAAAACAGACGTACAGAAATGTTTTTTTTTTTGCATCAGACGGAAGCAAAGAAAGAGAACGTGTCCATCTGTATCATGCGCAAATGATGGAAAGAACTCTGGAAAAAGCCCAAAATTAGCCTGTATTGATTCTGAATTCGAGAAATGTAAGTACAGTACATAAATCAATTTTTTGAACTTGAATAGCTAGCTCAATTTTTTTCATGAGACCTCAAAATTTATAAAAATAAATTCTTTCAATTTTTCTAGAAATGCTGGAAAAGTGCCTTCATCTCAAAACATTGTCCAGTAGATGCCGGGGCAGATTTTATTTTTCGTTTCAAGTGTCCCGACGTAGAATCGTCCGTATGTCGGAGTCTCACAGTTTGACTGACCATTTCAGGATACGAATCGAAACCGCGACTGAAAATGTTGCTGGAGGCCGTGGGCTACACAGTGAGGACTCTGTTGCCAGCAGCGACGAGTGGACCATGCCTCCTCACATACTCGGCAGTGGCGGCAGTGAGCCTCCTGTGGCGTCGCTGGCGAACCGTCCAACAAGCTCGGCGCCACGCCGAAGCCCGAAAAACCGCCATGACGATCCTCGCGAAAGCTGGCCTACAAGTCGGCACGGATCTCGTCGTGCTTGACGATCGAGTCTACGCAGAATGGATACAGGGAAAATCGAACGACGGAATGCAGCCGTTGGCCCGACTCGGGGAGACGTACATCGCCAAGTTGTGGGACGCCGGTCGATTGCCAGTCGACGAGATAGTATTCAGACTCATGAATTACTCGCCGGATGATGAGTACGAACCCCGGATTCCATCATGACAAGAAGTCTCGCGCGCTTTGCTCAGCTCACTGGAATGTTTCGGGGCATGATACCGGGTTCACATCGATGATCATAAAAACGCTCCTTTCGCGTTTGAATCTAAAGCGCTTTGCTTGCAACGAGACCTTGTTTCTTTTCAATTTCCGTATTGGATACTTTCTCCAACTCAGCCACAAAAAAATATATATATTTCGTGGATAACGTGCCAAGCACCCTTTCTCCATATTTGCGTGAAATTGGAGATACTGCATTTCGTCATTGATTTCCCATTGTATAACTGTTCCAAAACGAAGCACTTCGCAGGGAACTAGCCACGTATCCTTTCTTCATTCGCTCGAAATCAGATACAACATTGCATTTCAAAATTGTTTCATCGTACATTTCAGCGACAAGTTCAAGTAAACACAATTGTGAACTTAAAAATCATGTCTCTCAGGTAGAGTCATAATTTTTTCCAAGGGGGAATATACGGTAAACGTTAAGCTCTTACCTCGATGTCCTCCGTCACATTCGGAAAATTATTTTTACAAATAGACTTCAGCTGAATTCTTTTCAGTTTGATCCCTACGGCGGAAAAATGGAAATCGTTAATACTGAATTGATCGGCGCAAGTGCAGGATAAGGAAGATGATCCGAAAATGGGAGAATTTCAAAACTTTAGGTTTTGTGGCTCTCCACACAAGTTAGTTTTTCGTTTTTTAGTCCATGCATACAATTATTCATTACTCGCTCATTTATTCTCAATGTCGAAGAGTGATTGCTTCCTTCAGAAAAGAAACTTACAGGCAAAATAACATCCCCACACTTACGGGTGAAAATAATACAGGGTGGATACTTCTTGTATGCAGTCCACTTTTCGTTTTATATGTTGCCCACAGTATTCCAAGAGGTACTTGCTGAAGAAAGAGAACGTCATTCCATGGCACATTTAAAAATTGATCTCTAAAATGAAAAAATAAATATCACTTCTTATATAGCTCTGTAGTACGTAGAACGTCATTCCCTTCTACCATACTCGTCACGTAATAAGTACAGTATTGTCACACAATGAGAAGTGAAGCCTTTACGTTATGGTTGAGTTTTCCCCTCTTGAATGAATAAATGCAGCTCTGCCTTCTAATAATAGAAAAGCCATATTCTTCGGAGTGTTTCACACATGCATGATTCGTTCTTCGTTCTTATATTTACGAGGTATTTTAAATAGTTCCAATGAAAAACGGGATAAATCTCCTCCCATTTACATTGAATCATTAATTAAAATCATGAACTTCTTCAAGTCGACCTGTGGACTGGCGTACAGGCGCCAGTATGCATGCAATATTTGAATTCTTGCATTTCCCTAAGGCTCACACGAAGGTGTTCTCGTATTACGCCCTTCGGCAGAAATGGCTGGTGGTTCTTGTGCGGTTAATAACGAGTTAATTGGCTTTGAGTCTTTCAATATTCAATATAGAAAGGAGATCAGGTACTCACCATGCAGGGCTTGTAACAGTAGATTGATGGCACAAACACAAAAATCTTGGAGGAGAATCACAAAACCTCTGGAGTGTTTTTGTACAGCTAATGCACTCTTCATTAAAGATACTGTACGTGGGAACAAACAGGAAATCAATCACCTGTACTGCTTTTCCTTTTCATCCCCATGCAATAACGATGGCTCAAGAGGAACTCTGAAAAACCCAACTAATATAGCTCAATTGCGACAATCAACTGAATATGGCAGTACAAAAGCTCAGCTTGAGATAGCTCGAGATAGTGACTGACATTTCTATAGCTCCAGAAATTACTTCACGTCACATGCGTTCTCAGGATGAGAGGTATCGTGCAATAAAGTACGATGGATGGAGTCCATTTCAAAATCAAGAAGAAAGGAGAGACATCTCAGTTATGCTTTACATCCCTGAAAAAGCATTTCCAAATGCATGCGGAATGCACAGCGAGGTTGACAAAATATATATGCCACAAGGATGCTCGAATATTCTGGGTTGAAAACGAGTTCAATCGATGAAAAATATCAAAATTACAGTAGAACCAAGCGGAAGTCATGAGAACAATCAGATGAATTTATAAAGATCTCACAGAAAACATGAAGTTGAGTCCGATTTACACCACCAGGAAAAATATGAAAACCGAGTATGCAACCAGGTTGCGCTGCTTCGAAATGCTCTTCAATTATAGCAGTGTCGTAATAATTAGAAAAAGGATGCATTTTCATAGCACATAGACATAATGACAACAACCCCCTTCAGTTTATGTTCGAGCCAAACCATCCCTTACACATTCGACGGAAAACAGACGAAATTTCATACCTAGTCAGACCACAGACACATTGTTGGCTGCAGTTCATTCACGGTGATCACACCTATAGCAAAAGATGGCACCGTTAGGCGCGCGATGAACACTCGAATTTCGTAAAAATCTGCAGCTCTCACGGATGCCACTGTCCTGTTTGATGCAAGAACCCCAGAACACACCGAAAATCAAACAGCCGCAGTTTTCCACGGCCAAAAATCGACTGACAATTTGCTGAAGGATGGCAACAACGGAATATTAAAGGTTCCCCCTTACACAGGACGGCGACACCTAGACGACAGTCCTGGCGTAAGACAAAACGTTCACGTCTTCCGCCTCAATCTTCCATTCCCATTGCACCATCACCAGAATCACTGGCAGGGATGTCCATAGAAGGAGACCCACAGACTTCACTTCAGCTCTAGCTCTTGACAGACAAACTTGTCTCAACTCTGACTGTGATGTTATATGTTGATATGACTTTTGAAATAATAGATGTTGAGTTTGTGAGGAGAAGTCTTTATTCAATCATCCTTATTGAAGTGAGGCGCAGTACTGAAGAAGAGAGGGACACAACCACTAACAACATCTAAACACTTCAAACAAAGAACAGGGCAAAGACATCTATTCTAGAACAGTGTTCCCAACTAAACTACTGTAGTCCATTATTTTTTTGAAATGTGGGATAGATGATGGCAGTGGAAATAGTCTGATGAAAAAATGAAAGTTGGGATTCCTTTATCTCATTTTCACCAGCTGAAATGAATTATTTAAATTTTTTCATTCTGAGAAACCTTTTTTCAAGCCCACCTTTTGAATTTCTCAAAAGACATTCTACTACAGTATATTGCTGTTTGTCATTGGTTCATAATTTTTGCAAAAAAGTATGAACTTTTTAAATGCCTGCCACAACTTGTCTTCCAAGTTTCAAGCAAAACTCAAAGCTACAAAAATGTATGAAACTTTGCCAATGCCCAGAAAGTTTTTGGGAAATCAATTTCTGGTCCACAGAATTTTTATGGAAATTGGCCAGTCCACTCCACCAGCCCAAAAAGGTGGGGAACACTGATCAAGAATACTTCACAGTATAACCAAACCACAGGAATTGAAGGATCATTTTTTTAAATGAGAAACAACGATAAAACGTATCCTAGAAAGTAGAAACAATAAGCAACTCACCTGCATTCCAATATATCTTTGCGAAACATTACATCGCAGAGGAGAAAATTGGAAAAGAACCCATTCCCAGATTTTCTGGCTGAAATATTTTAAATTCAAAATTTGATTTTGCTCTGGGCAAAAGATGGCGCAGTCCGGATTTTTAAATAGTTTTGATGTACTTATTTTTTTTGCAGTCTATCTAGAATGTAAAGTTTCAAGCTATTCATTTCCAACACTCCAAAAAACTCTGGGATGAGTTGATTCAAAAATTGTCTCAGGTTTCGAATTCAATTTCTTCATCATATTTCATGCACACCATCACATGCAGCAAACAGGCAACTATCTCAAAATTTGACATCCCCTCTGAATTTTGAATTGTATTTGCATTTTGTAATATGCCATCATAAAAAGTAAAATGCTTTAATGAAGCTTTACTTGTCAGGATTGACATTTAATTTTCAAAAATCATACTAAAGTACATTACAGTACTGTACATCAATAGGAAGGTGAACACCAATGATGCTGGGTTGTTGTCATCTCAGGGCACAAAAAGCCATTAATCCAGTTTTCCATGAGGATGAGGCTGTACTTGAATTGGAGAATTTTTAGATACATCATTCTCAGGCTGTCAATTTCAGAACATATTGAGTCTTTCTATTCAACTAATAGTTCGCATAAGCAGGCATAAGGATATTGTTCTGCACAACCACATTTTCCTGTGATTTGTAGTTCTTGATTCAAGGATATCCAGCTTCAATACCGTATTCGTCATGCACTACAAGTTGTGATACGTAAATAATTTTTTTCATTGCCACTTTTTTCAATTCAGCTAAAACAATACAGATTGATGACCCGACCCAATCCACTCAGCTACTCAGATGATGAACAGAGTAATTCTAAAAATTTGCATCTTATTAGTTGCGGAAGTTTTGAACAGGACAGTATGACATGTTCGACTGCCTTGTGAGGAAATCTTGCACTGTACGTTAGAAGAAAACTGTCAGCTTGAAAAACGCCATGGAACGTAAGAGGCATGAATACACAAAATGTAGTGAAAACTGGAATGAACGCGAAAGCCTCATTGGACCCCATTTCATCAACCTTTATTACTTCAATAAAGACACCCCGGTGAAAGATACTTGAAAAGAAACGGAAGAATCGCAATAATAAATCAATTTGGAAACCAAACCTCACGTACAAAACCACTTGTATCAAATTTCAAATGATCCACACCACAGCTCTCAAAAGGCTGCCGAATATTCCCAGTAAATCATGGATTTTTATCCGTGAGAGTATGGATGGATTCTGAAATAGAGATTTTTGCCATTAATCTCTTCCACACAGATTATACCAGCAAAAAAACATCCACTATGCTTCCAAGATATACTGTACCTAAATGAGGCACCTTTTCTGACATTTACTTTGATGAAAGCATTTTAAAATCACAAATTCTTCATTTCCAACATTTTCCTCAAGATTACCTTGGGAAAAAATTCAAAACCACTGATTGGTCCGAGTGCAGCCAGAAATTTCATTCAACTACATGGCGGGATGGGATACCCTCCTTCCATATGCTGGTCAGTCTTCCTGCTGACCAGGAGGAGTGCGCATATGCCTCGCACAAATTTGAAATCAGAGAATGACTTCAACACCTGTATTTTTTTCAATCTG